CTTTCTTTCTTTCTTTCTTTTTCCTTCTTTCTTTCTTTTTCTCAGTCTGACTTTGTCTGTCTCTTCTCTATACGTTGATTTGTGCCTCTGACTCTTTTTGTGTCTGTCTCTTGTCTGTGTCTGTCCAGACTCCCTCCTCTTTTCTTTCCAAACATCTGATTTTAATTCTATATCTCCCCCCTCCCCCACTTCTAGTCATATCTTAAATGTGTTTATTGATTACGACATACGACACACAAAAATGTTCTTGCTCCATTCAGCTCTGCTACTTTCTGAGGCTGCTTATGACTAGGCTTGGTTGAAGTTGTTTTTCACTGCGAGTTCTGAACCTAACAGAGTGTTCTGTCCTTCCTTTCCCTCATTTCTCTATCACCATTTCAGTTGATCGTACAGGAATACAAGCTTTTTTGTGTTGGAAGCGGCGGTTTTATAGACGAATGATTATGAGAAATACTCTGACATACACAATTTGAGTAATGGAGATATTTTGAAAAAACCTAGTCACGAAGGTAATTAAATGCCCACATCAGAGAGAGAGAGAGAGAGAGAGAGAGAGAGAGAGAGAGAGAGAGAGAGAGAGAGAGAGAGAGAGAGATGAGAGAGAGAGAATCCACATTCGATGGTCTTGACATAAAAAAAAAAATCGAAATAAACAAACAAACTCGAGTATATCTTGGAGTACAAACTGAAGGAAAAAGATGTAGAGGGAGACCAAGAGAGAGAATAAGCTGGACAGTTTTACAACATGGAAAACGGTATCAGCCTTACGTTAAAGTACACAAAAAGGTTATGGGCATACACAGGTGAAAAGGTAAAAGCTAACATCAAGAGATGTGAACCAGCGTCATTGCATTAGGTTATAAGTGCTCTGCCACCAGTACGGACAGCTGATAAACTGTCCGCCTGTGTGGCATGCAGCTCCGTAGCTACAGCCACGCTACTTTATTTATCCCCAGGGTGTTAACTCTGATACCCAGGCTGTGTGAACCCCGGAAACCGTCCAGATTCGAACACCGGCCGTGGGCTGCAGCGAATCGCAGCTTGGATTTGAAAGCGAGTGTTCTATCGACTGTGCTTACGTGGCCCCTCGACTAAAGGGAAAGTTAACGCGAAAATAGGTTATGGAAATACGTGACTACCAACGTCCAACGCCACATGACATAGGCTATAATTTCTTCTTCTTCTTCTATGTTCAGTCATGCTAAACATTGAGTCCCGTCTGGGTCAAAAATAGGATTGTGCGTTTAAGGTCGCCACCGGTCCCCCATAGCTTTTCTCGCAATGTGGATCCCCTGGGCCAGATCCACAGTATAGGCTATAAGAAATTTGTGGTTTGAAATTTGAAAAATGGATCAACATAATGACACACGTGTAGCAAACCCACAAGCGCTCCGTTCTTTCCTCTAACCCAAGTCTGAGTCCAAAAAAGCTTAGCACAGTGCACAGGCTCCGTAGCACTGGCGTGAATCCTGAAAATAAGTTTGGGTAGATGTTTAACTCAATTTGCCCTGGCAGCGCCGTTAGGTTACTCTTTTCGATTTCCACTCTTGGTGTGATCTCGTCTTTTCTTGGGTGTTTTTTGTCTTTGTATGTCTAACCTTTTGTATGTTCGTGTCTTACATTCTCAACCTCTTTTTCTCAAACTCTTCCAAATTCTTTCTCTCAAATTCTCTTTCTCTGCCCGTTTCTTTGTCTGTTTGTCATTTTGCCACAATTCGTCGTGTCTCTCAGCCTCTTTTTATGCTTGTCACTGTCTCTCGATCTCCAACATCTCTCATCATGTCTCTCTTCAACTCCATTACATTGTTATCACCTCAGACACGACTAACTCTAAGATACTGTCTGACTGCAAGCGTCCAATATCCCTGATCAAGATAACAGCTGCCATGCTTCAGTCCCCTTGATGCTTGGAGACGCCAGATGCTCCACGTACGTTGCTGGGGATTTTAAATGGCGGTCTAATGCTCGATTAACTGTTAACGCGGGAACATTTGAGACCGATAAGTGAGGACACAGTGACCTTTGGCAGCTCACAAACAGCTCGCACAACAACGTGCAGCATATCCGCTGGCTGCATTGTTATTACTCTCTTCCTCCCCCTTCTTTGTCGTTTTTTTTTGTTGCTTTCTTCCTCCTCTTTATTACCCCCCCCCCCCCCCCTCCCCCCTTTACTCCCCGTACTACTGTTGCTACTAACAAATGATAGTCCCTTTATCCCAATTGGAGCTTCGTAGAAATAAAGAACGAGTGAAGGGGTAGATCATTTAGTCTTATAAAGTAAACATTATCCGATGTAATACATGCTATCATTATATTATAAAGAATAACTTTCTATCACGTTGTTGAGAATCAGAAAGAGTTTGTTTGAAAAAAAAAAAAATCTGTTTGGACACAGAAAGCTGCACATTCTTTGGACAGCCAACATAGTAAGTAAGTGAAGGAAAGGATCCTTATCCTTTAGTCGTAAAGGGCATATAGAGCTGGGCTTATATTTTTATAGACCAACTGGCAAAAGATCGGTCATGTGGTCAGCATCATGCCGGTCGCCTTCACTTCCCTGGACTGCACCTGATACCCACTTAAGGCTAGGTCTACCTGGGAGCCAAGGTCATTTTTGAAAAAAAGTCTGGCTATACCAGAGAGGACAACCTGGAGGATTTTACGTCAGTAAGCCAGACGGAACAGAAAATGCCGATTGGGTTTCTCCCATGACTTAGTTGTGACCGATCCCGGGTCTTTTGGCCAGACCAGTGCAACAGCTACACTTTGATCTTCGCCAAAAGGCCGAGAAGTAAAAATGTATGTCAGATGACCTATTTTAGAGTAGGTCAGGGTGCGGGGCAGTGTACCTCAAATGTGCTAATTGTGAGAGAGTAGTCATCCCCCATGTGGGATGCGCACTTTGTTAAATTTTTTTATTTGAAGCCCCACCCTGGCTTTTGCCGGGGGCCCTGAATATAACCGGGCCTTAAATATGGCCTCACGGCTGAAAGGGGTTTCTCGGACCTCTCTACGGGTGATCCTCATCCGCTGGGTGACACTTTGTGTCACCGGGTGTTTATCGCTTGTGTCAAGTCCTGGTGGGGTACAACTAACTACCTACCTACCCCAATTGTGAGAGAAGTGTTGTTTGCAATATTTGTTGTCTGACACGCAACAAAGTCATTATGCGCGATGTTTGACATCGTTAGCTCCATGAATCTCCCCCCTAGTTTTACAACTTAATTACTAGATAGTTGGTGTTATACCAGGATATGTGGAGGATCTTGAGACAAGCTTACAACCATTTTGCAGAATCAAATGTTGAGGAAGCTATTTAAGCTCAGCAGTTTAACAAAAGACCTGTGTGTTCCAATGGCCCATTGGGGGGGGGGGGGGGGGAGGGACAAGAAAAGGTTCATTTCCTCCTCAAAAAACATTTGACTAACTTAGGACTTCTTTCGAAGTCGGTGTGCATCTTCCTGAGAGGAAAGGATCCAACAATTTGCACAAAGATAAGCCATATATGTAAAACAGACGTGCACGCAACACTCAAATTCGGAACAAGACTGAAGTCCAGAGGTGGACGAACAACCAGAACTTTCCAACGGAGCTTACAGCCGGTGAACGCCAACAAGAAGAAGAACGGAGAGTGAGCTCCAAAAGCTACCGTGCACGATTTTTTAAAGAAAATCAAGAACAAAAGAAAAATCCCACAAGAGTGGGGAAAAATTGGTACCATCATCAAACTACGAAGTAGAGAAAGTTTAGAAAATGTTGATAACTAGAGCGGTATCACATTACTTTCAGTAGCAAGTAAAATCCTCCTTCGAGAATGGCATTTAAACAAAAGCAGCGTTTCTTCTTCTGCTGTCCACAGCCAACACATGAATGGTGGTTCCATCCTTTGCTGTCGCATGCTGCTCACCCTTTATCCTCCTTATCTTTTTTTTTTTACCTTTACTTTTCATTCCTCTCTAAATGTGTTTTAAATATGCCGTAACTACTATGCCTATGTGGAGTCCACTGTAAAGAGTTTCTTAATATATATTTTTTTTCAAGTGTGGTCACCTTGTGTCCCAACCAACACCAGCGTCTTCTCTTCATCTCTTGATTCATTGTAGTCATTTCAAAACTAATATCTAAAGAAAATCATTAGAATAGTTTGGCCAGACATGATCATAAATGAAGAACTGGTGAGGATAGCATAAATTTTCTCACTGGCAAACGTTATCAAAGGGAAAAAAAAGGAGATAGCTTAGAGGGCAGGCGTTACATGGCCTCACTCAAAGAAAACATTAGAGAGGAGGACAAGATGGGGCTGAACCGTCTTATAATTTTCTATGGGTTAGCCTCAGAGGGCTTTAGCTTTGTTAAAGTTGCACTGTCAATAGTAATGATAATAATTATGAGGACTTCTATTACTACGGTTCAAAGAGCATCTTAGCCCATTTGCAAATTTTCAGTGAAGGGAGGTGGGAATTCAACACCTATAATACCCTATGAGACGCTAATAAAGCTAGCTGTCCGATGGATAGCAGATCGAGAAAGGTTAAAGGTTAAAGTCAAAAGGATCGACTTAATTGCACTTCAATATGGCTCGCTCTCTCTCTCTCTCTCTCAGCAGAACGGTTAGCCGAGAGCGCTACACAGAGCCCAAACTCTGGAATTCCGGTGAAGATCCACAGGGATCTCTGTAAAAATTGAACTCGTGAATTGAAAGGCGCAGCCTTAAAACGACTCCACGACCTTCAGAGCTCGAGGCAAACGGCTTGACCACATCGCCACAGATCGCGGGCGACATAAGGAAACCTGAAGAAGGACAGTAAGAAAAGGAGAGAAAAAAAGAGTACACCGACAAGGGCTACCACAGGAGAAACACAGCAAAGCGGCAGCAATCGAGATCATTCGACAGTGTCTTGTTGTCAACCATGACATAAAAGGAATATAAACAGGAAATTATATTATTAACAAATAACTGAAAACTTAACAGCTTAACTCTTGTTTAATTTTTATCCCAGTATCACTGTGTGTGTAAAGTTGGCTACAAAGGAGACGGGAAGTCTTGCACTTTGGTCAATCTCTGTGTTGAGAATAATGGCGGATGTCATCCCAAGGTAGGCTTTGTAAGATCATCATCATCATTATCATTACCATCCAATTGATGACATATTCAAGTTTGGTAGTTCATGTAGCACTTCCCGATCCACAACATGGATAGAGATGCATTTGTATGCCTATCGCCATTGTCGTCTTTGCAATATGCATATCGCGTGGCATAGATGACATTGTTACTATTCTTTACCGGCCTAATCATAGTAACCACAGTGTCCGCCAGATATGTCCGTCTGTTATCTTAAACATCCGCACCACAAGCAACACAGATAAAGCACGATTGTATTACTCTGAAACATAAAATATTTCCTACTACTGCACTGCGTGTTTAAGTTAGCCAGATTTCTTATTTACGTTCAGACCAAACGCAAAAGATCAAACATATCAGACAGTGTTGGGTACACACACACTCGGTAGCGAACCAGGCATAGTGAATGTTCAAAACTGAACGTAAAGATGAAAGACCGTTTACAGCCAATTGTCATATCCTGTATAAGAGAACAGTTCAACTAAACCGACTCATAGGCAAAAACGATGGGAATGGAAATCGTTGCGGTCCAGTGGCCTGAACCCCAGTATAGAAAGATTATTAGTACTGTATAATAAGCAGGGGGGGGGGGTGTCACCGTGGCCGAGCGGCTAGACGCTCGCCGCGGTTCAGAAGGTCGTGGGTTCGCTCCCTGGAGAAGCCGGACTTTTTTCAAAAATGACATTAGCTCCCAGGTCGACCCAGCCTCAAGTGGGTACCGGGTGCAATCCCGGGTAGTAAAAGCGACCGGCGTGATGCTAACCATATCACCCATCTTGTGCCGATTGGTCTATAAAATATAGGTCTAGCCCTATATGCCCTTTACGCCTAATGGCGTGGAAAGGGTCCTTTACTTTACTTATAATTAGTAGGTAATATGCAGGTCACTTGTTAGACCTGCCCACGGGCTGCCAGTTTAATAGCCCTTCTGTATATGGTACTACGTCAATGGTTTGTGCATCAGTCCGTAATAGACTGGTAATATAGCCAACATGAAATCGGCCGCATTTACTTTTCTGAGTATTTCTTGATACCTATTCCACCGACCTCCCCACCCCCTCTTTTTTTCCCACTGTGTGGGATTCGGGGCTCTATTGTAGGAGGAAAATGAATCGACCAGCTGACAAATAACAATCATGCTGTTATAAAGGCTACACCCCGTGTAGGTTCCAGGCCATATTTGATTGGAAGGGGGGGGGGGGGCAATAGAAGAATATATCGACTACCCTTTTCCACACCCTGAATAAGTTGACTAATTAGGGAAGTTTTAATGCAGCCTGAGTGCATCTTCCTTTGCGGCGAAGAACCCAAAGTCTGCTTAGAAATAAAGCAGATCTGGGAGTGGATGTGCAGCGCATAACTCAAGCCCTGGATGACGTTCACAGTCCTGAAGTGACCAAACACCAGAACTGTTCACAAGAGTTTACAGCCGGGTCACTTCTTAGCTGGACCATTACTGTAATAGTAATAATAATAACAAAAACTAATGATAATAATAGTCAAAATAATGATCATAATAATTTTCTGAATAGCAAAATTATTTAAATATTATGAAATGTAGAAGAAATACTCAACAAGAGAACTTCGATTTATTATTGCGGAGGTAGAAGGGGTGGGAGCTTTTACCAGGAGTTTAGAGAGCCTAACTGACGCGTCCCCTTTAAGCCCTTACATTAAATTCTTTTTATCTTTAAACAGTTTTGTCTTTTTAAAGACTGTGTTGTCGTGACGTTTTTTTCTAATTATCGATTTCCAGTGTTAGATATTTAAAAATTTATATCAATCAATCATTAATCAGGTGTCGTCCTTCACACTATAATTTAACTGCTATGGATCTCCAATAGGCTATGTCTTTTTTTAACACTCTCTCAGAAGATGTTGACCTCTCATGTGTATCGTTGCTCACCACATGCTGTCTTGCCTTCGAAATTTCCATCCAGCATGGTTTTTAAAAGCTGTTTTAATGTGGCCAACAATTTCACTTGTCTGTTTATATATATATATAATATATATATATATATATATATATATATATATATATATATATATATATATATATTAGGGCTGTACCGAATATTCGCTTCGTATTCGCTTCGGGGCCGAATAGTGGACCTATTGACTATTCGGTATTTGTCCGAATAGTTGCGGTCGGGCCGAATACGAATAGTAGTTACCTTACACCCGCTTCTGCATACACTGCCAGAATGCTGACAACATGAAACAATTGGTTTTCTTAAAAGCTAATGCAGCTTTCATGCATTAACTAAGCTGTCAGTGACAATTTTCAAGTTAAGTTACTTGTTATAAAACTTAGGATTCTTTCATTCATAGTAATTAGTTACCACAGACTGACTGAAGGATGCAAAACATAAAATGTTTTTAAATGTTTACTATTCTGTACGAATACTAACTAGACATGGAAAGAATATAAACTCCGGCCACACCCAAGTCGATAAAATGAAAATCAAACGGACTGAAACATATAACCCTAATTTCTGCTTGGAAGAAGCTTTAGCCGGAGAGCGTTGTTGATTTGTGACTGAGGGGTTCGAGACAGTACCTGTGGAACCTGTATTCAACGAGATTGTGTCTTTCGCCACTGTCATGGGATTGTAGGTGGATAGCAGTGATATCAAAGAGCTTGTGGAAGAGCACAGCCAAGAGCTGACCATCCAAGAGCTCATCGAGTTGCATTGTCTTTCACAGCAAAAAGTTTTGGAGGAAAGTTTGTCAGAGGAGGAGGAGAAGGTAACAGAAAAGCAACAATCTTCTGACGAAATAAGAGAAGTGCTGGAAAGCATGGCAAACTGTTGCATCTTACATTGAGAAGAATCATCCTAATAAGGAAGTGGCTATGCGCGTTGCAAATGTATTTAATGATAATGCTGTGTCGTATTTTCGCCTAATTTTTAAGCATCGACAAAACAAATGTCTCTGAACATCTTTCTAGTAAATGAAACAATTAGCTATGTCTCATAGTGATTTTAACTTTTTTTCTGCAAATCGAATTCGCATACCAGGTTGGTTCGTTCTGCGTTTGAAGAAAATTTGAAGATGATTCACTCTCCGTAACAATATGTATATAATTTTCTTTGAATAAACGTTATACATAGCACTTTGTAAGTATTTTTTTTCGACATGGAACGCATTATCGTATTTTACTTTAATTTATATGAGAAAAATTGTATCGCATAACGAGTGTTTCGCTTAACGAGAATGATTCTTGAACGAATTATGCTCGTTAAGCGAGGTTCCACTGTATACTGTGCCCTTCAACATCTGCTAAAGTATCGCAACACCACGATCAAAATATATAAAACGTTAATAAGACCAGTCGTTTTATGTCGCTCTGAAACTTGAAGCAAAATAAAAGAAATGAGGCGTTTTTACAGGTTTTCGACCTTTTCACAGGTTTTCGAAAACCGTCTTAAGACATATCTTTGGACCCATCAAAGATGCAAACAGCGGGGAAAAGAGAGTTAGAAGCATCAACGTAACACATAATCTGTTTAGATCACCATTGAACACTGGCATCATGAGAGCTAACAGACTAAAATGGTTGGGGCATATTGAGAGAATGTCAGATGACAGAGAAGTAAAAACTGTATTCACCAGAGAGAGAAATAGGCGTAGACCACGAGGCAGACCTCCAAACAACTAGTGTCACAAATTGTACAGAGAAGACCAGCCAGAGAGATGAATGGAGACGAGTGATGTCTGCAGCAGTAAACCTCAAGGGCTCAGAAGGCTATAGATGATGACGATTCTGTGCTACTTTATGTGAAGTAAAAGTTCAGCGTACATTTGACATTATTAATGTATTTTTTTTTTTTTAGATATTTGTTATACTCTATTCGTATTCGTATTCGGCCGAATAGTTGGTCCCGTTATTCGTATTTGGCCGAACAGTGAAAATCATTATTCGGTACAGCCCTAGTATATATATATATATATATATATATATATATATATATATATATATATATATATATATATAGGTAATTAGTTTCGTATCTTTTACAGGACGTTACAGAACCAACCCCAACAGCCCCTGGCTGTTGTGTGGTTTTTCTAGGCAAATTTACGTTCAGTAGTTTGCCATTGTTTTTTTGGACGGTCGGCTTTCTTGATACCACTGTCGAAACCAACGCAAGGCGCATGGCCTGCAGCTGGGATCCAAGTCGGCATCATGGCATTACGAAGCGTTCGCATCGACTTAGCCACAGAGCCGACAGTATATATATATTTATTTATTTATATCTGTAGTTGTCTATTTTATTGTAGGCTATCTGTACGCCACTGAAGGCAGGGGAGAGAAACTGCACTTGTCCAGAAAACCTGGCTGGGGATGGCTACACTTGTTCCGGGACAATCGCTGATGAAGTCCTGGCACACCCCAACCTAACTCGTCTGGCCAGCTTGATGAAGGTAAGTGAGAACTGATGTTGACGCATGCCGTTTGGTACATAGTTCTTCTTTTCTTTTTCTTTTCTAGTCCTGTTCTGCCTTTCAGGTTTCGAAGAGAGATCAGGTGAGACGTTTTGTATGTGCTACGTAGGTGCGGGTATTCACAGTCTCGGCTAATCCAGAGATGAGACCGCATCAGGCGGCATCGTATGTGTGGCGGGATATACAGCGAAATCAAAATACAATGTGAACTTTATATCTGTCAGCGCGAAGCGATTGGGGGTGGCATTTCGAAGACGTGCGTCACACTGTGAAAATCTACCCCATGTGAATGATCATCACGTTATCAAGGACATTTTCAGGTACCCATTTGAGGCTGGGTCAACCCAGGGGGTCAGAGTAATTACTGATGTCAGACTAGATGTGGATTAGAATTGGAAAGTGCATGTGCTATTGTTAGAAAATGCAGTCATATTCGGTCTGTCTAAACATCGCGAGTGTTGCAAATAGAGCCAAAACCAATAAATAGACATTCAAGGTATGTATAGGTCAGGGTGGTCTTTACCCGAAAAGAACTGCAGGTTATGCTTGCCTGGTGTAGCTGTTAAGGGTACTGTTGAACAGGGTATTTGGGATCTGCCTTGTTGGTCTACCATCCAGACTGAGATGTTTAAATATCAAGATGGTATGGTAAAACCTAAGGTAACATCCCAGAGTGGGGAAACTCATTGATCAATCTGGCCAATGCAATGACAAGAAAATTCTGGTTCCTTCGGGATTTATAAATAATGGCAACACTATTATTTTTGTTATTCGAATCGACAAAGTCCTAATAGCTAATTAATTCCTGATTATAATATAAAACGCCCCATTCTTTAGGCACCTCGTTAGAAAATTAGGTCTGAAGTACGTCATGAGGTCAGGAAAATTGGTGAAGGAAAGCATAAAGCAGTTAGTTACCAAAAACGACGATATTAGGCAATCAGGCATCATAGCTTGAAATAATACATTATTTCCCCCTGTGATTTCTGGGGCCCTTTTGTAGAGAAAACAAGAATATACCCAAAAATATGTCGTAAGAGTCAACTAATTGGTAGCTTCTTTCGAAGTCGGAATGCACCTACCTGAGAGGCAAGGAACCAACAGCTGTATGCAGATGGGTGATATCTGTAAAACGGATACACACGCAACACTCAGGTTCTGGAGAAAGACTAAAAGTCCAGAAGTGGACTAACAACTAGAACTTTCCGCCCGAGTTTACAGCTGGTGAACGCGAAGAGGTAGTAAAAGAATACTTTATTGGGTACAACACATGACGGAAGGCATTGGACAAAGAGGAAGGAGAAGAATACTTTATTGGTACAACACATGACGGAAGGCATTGGACAAAGAGGAAGGAGAAGAATACTTTATTGGTACAACACATGACGGAAGGCATTGGACAAAGAGGAAGGAGAAGAATACTTTATTGGTACAATACATGACGGATGGCATTGGACAAAGAGGAATGAGAAGAATACTTTATTGGTACAATTCATGATGGAACGCATTGGACAAAGAGGAAGGAGAAGAATACTTTTTTGGTACAACACATGACGGAAGGCATTAGACGAAAAGGAAGGAGAAGAATACTTTATTGGTACAATACATGACGGAAGGCATTGGACAAAGAGGAAGGAGAAGAATACTTTATTGGTACAATACATGACGGAACGCATTAGACGAAGGGAAAGAGGAAGAAAACAGTATTGGTACAGTACATGATGGAAGGCATTAGACGAAGAGAAAGAGGAAGAATACAGTATTGGTACAATACATGATGGAACGCATTAGACGAAGAGAAAGAGGAAGAATACAGTATTGGTACAATACATGATAGAACGCATTAGACGAAGAGAAAGAGGAAGAAAACAGTATTGGTACAATACATGATGGAACGCATTAGACGACGAGAAAGGGGAAGAATACAGTATTGGTACAATACATGATGGAAGGCATTGGGCAGACATGGTAACGAATGTCACGTGTCATGGTGTCTAAGATGCTCCAAGTAGCTACCGTTACATAAAAATTTAACTGCCTGAGTCAGTAATGACTGTTTGAGATTAGCCGTCATTACAGTAATTGTACTATTGCTAATGCTCTTCCGGTTGTGTTTTGTCACTCTTGTCATTAGAGTAAAGTGTGTTGGTGACATCATTTATAATATTTATGGGTGGGGCGAAGGGTGTGTGCGTGTGTGTGTGTTTATATGTGTGTGTTTGGGGGCGGATGTTGACACATGCTGTTAGATAACTTGAGCAGGCCCATACCATACTCTATCATTTAAATAATCTGTTGCTGATTTAGTATGTAGAGAATTCACTGTTCTATGTCAGTTGATGGCATCACCGTTAACTCTTTTTTTTTTCTCAACTTGAACACTACCCCTACCACGTGGTACTCGAACGACAAGCTACTGCAAAAAGTTATACCAAAATATTTTAGGTAATTCTCTCTCTCTCTCTCAAACTCTCTCTCTCTCTCTCTCTCTCTCTCTATATATATATATATATATATATATATATATATATATATATATATATATATATATATATATATATATATATATATATATATATATGTGACCACTATTTATTGTGATGTTCGGAACCTTATCTCTAATAATTCTATTATATAATAAACACCAAAATACCGCTTCCCTATCTGGAGTGATTGCAGAACCGGTTTCATCACACCATTCCCCTACCTTGTCTACCGCTTCTGAAGTTCTGTAGATATTTCTGTTCTATTTCTCCACCGACTGTAGACTAAAACATCGCCAGTAAAACTTAGAACATAGAATGCCAGTCCCCACTGCATCAATTGCCGCTGTCCTGCTTGCATACATTCTGAAAAGCACATGGGAAATGGTGGAGTTCTATGGGAGGGCCGGCGCTTTACGGCAGGGTTCAAAGCTCCACAAACCTAGGCGAAAAGCAGTCTGCTGTTCATACAGGACCGCTGCAATCCAGTTGACGATCCAGAGACAGACCGCTTTGTGGATAAATGTGTACAGCAGAAAGAACATCATATCTAATCCAGTTATATGCATTCAAGTTTCAGTGCCGCCACCACTGTTTCACCATGCTTATTCTAAAAACCCCTTCTTTATATATATATCGGATCAGAAAGTCGTGGGTTCGCTCCATGGCGGAGCCGGATTTTTTATTTCAAAAAATGACTTTGGCTTCTTGGTCGACCAGCCTTGAGTGGGTACCGGGTGCAGTGCCGGGAAGTAAAGGCGGCCGGCGTGATGCTGACCACATCACCCATCGTGCCGATTAGTCTATAAAATATAGGTCTAGCCCTATACGCCTAAAAGCGTGAAAAAGGGTCCTTTACTTTACTCATATATATAAATATATATATATATATATATATATATATATATATATATATATATATATATATATATATATATATATATATATATATAGGCATCATAAGCCAGGATCGCGGCATTTGCCGGTGTATCTTTTCTTTGTCGGTAACTCCCTCACCCTCAAGGTAGGAGTTGGTATTTCTAAAGGTTTTCCTCTATTTATTTCACACTCAGCACATTAACAATAATAAGAGTGTATTGCATGGTCACAGAGAGCCTGAGCCACCTCTTCTCATATTTTCTTTGTGTCAGCCCACCTACTCTTGGTATTATTACCATTATCATTGTGAAGTGCTCTGCACATTTTCACAACTTGCGGTCACCAGCAGTATGTGTCGGTTCGTGTGTCTTCTTTTACTTCCGGTCTCTCTGCACCCTTTCGTAAGTTAGTCGATAACGTTGTATAATTCTTTTGCTTGTGTCTATTCTAATATTGTAATCATAACCTAACCCTGTACTCAGTATCACAGCGTGCATGTAACGACTGTAACTACCGTTTGTACTTTCCACTCATTTATCAGTCAGCAAGTCCTTTACGGAATGTTGCTCTCTTCACGGCACGCCTGAAAGTATCTCTTTCCTGAGCCAGCCCTTTAATGCCTCTTCAATGCTCTGCATCCGTTTACATTTCACAAGCTTCACCCTCTATTACCGTCTTTTCCAAGACAAAATGACGTTTGATGTTTGCCAGAATACTTCAATTTTCGGGATAAGATGCTGTTTATGAGCCAGTTGTGCTTGATGTTTAACTTGTGTAGAATGTCGATGTTTTTTTCTTTTTCTTGATCCATGGTATTCTGAGAATGTGTCTGTAACATTCGAATCCAAAATCTCTAATCTTTTTCTTCTGTGATTGAGTGAGACGACAGAATTTCTCCTTTCCAAAAGCGTTCAATGTTTTTAAATTTAATTTTGGCCGTCAAAAAGCACAGCAAAGAAGTAAAACTTTATTGAGCACGAAAAACCTATGGCAAAGCACCTGTAGATTATATAGTTAAAGTAAAATATCTTAAGATCGTGTATTTTTCCTGTGGCAACTAAAGGCTGAGTCCTGGATTCTCAGTCACTGAGGAAAAACGATTGTTTTTTTTAAATTGAAATGTTGTAGGTAAATTCTTAGAATACTATGGCTCAAGAAGAGGACGAACATAGACATTCTAAACGAGATGAACACCAGGAAGAACTAGCTCGTAAAGAGCATCCTGTCCCGAAAGTTGAAGTATTTTTTCTACAACAAACGTCATGGTGGCTTGGAAAAGACGATGATGAAGGGTGCAGTTTGTGGAAGGTGAGGCAGGGGTCGACCACCATGAAGATAGATACAGGAAATTGAAGAAGCATTGGCATTGAAGGCACATAGGACTTGAGAGCTGGCTAGAGAAAGGGATACTTTCAGGCGTGCCGTGAAGAGAGCGACGTTATGTGAAGGACTTGCTTATTGGTTGATAGAACGTATCAGCTAATTTATTGTTTTGTTTGACAAGCGGCTTAAACCGTGGGACTCTCATTAAGTGGATCCAGCTCCCCCCCCCCCCCAGTCAAGTAATGAGAGATGCAAAATTCACCTGTAGGTAGCAAAAAACAAAAATCCTAACTC